AACAAATCCACAAAAACTAAAACATGACCTTGTGTCTATTTAAAAACTATCTCAAGAGTAGGTTTGAAGCATTGAACATGAAGGAACAAAGATCAGATGGATTGCAAGACTATTATCGAATATATCAACCATGAAAAAAAGGAAAAGGTTATTACAAATACAAAGGGGAGGAGGAGGAAGGCCAACATGGATGTCAGAAGAGACTCTGAATATTGCACTAGAACGTTGGGAAGCCAAAACAAATAGAAGTGATGAGGAAGTTAAAGAGTGCAACAGATTTCAAAGGGCAGCTTGTGAGGGGAAAAAAAGTCATATAACAAAATGTCCCTAGAGTCAGGAAATCAATAGGGTAGAAATTGCTCTGCATTTCTCAAGTTAAAGGAACTGAAAACAAATTTAAGCCTCAGATTGCAATACTGAAAGATGCTCTGGGCAAAATCTTGAATGATCCAGGAAGTATTAAAAGAAGATGGAAGGAATCCACAAAGTCACCATACCAGAAAAAATTGGCTGATACAGAACCATTGAAGAACGAGTGAGCAAGAACGGATGCCAATAAAGGAAGAATTCCAAGCTGCACTGAAGAAATTGGCAAAAACTAATACCATGTAAATTGATGGAATGCTAATTGACATATTTCAACAAACAGATGCAGTCCTGGATCTGTTTCTTGGCTATGCCAAGAAATCTGGAAGACAGCTACCTGCCCAACTGGCTGGAAGACTTCAATATTTCTTGCCATTACACAAAAAAGATGATCTAACAGAAGATTTACAATATCTAACAATATCATAATATAGATAAGAAAAACTTGGCTGAAAAGTATCCCAAAATGACAAGAACAGTACACTGCAAGAAACACAGGCTGCATTTAGCAGAGGCCATTGCCATTGTTACATGGATCTTGGCTAAAAGCAGAGAGTACCAGAAGGATGTCTATTGGTGCTTTATCAACTATGCAAAGTCATTTGGATGTGTGTATCACAACAAAATGTAGCTAACATTGAGAAGAATGAGAATCCAAAATACTTGATTGTACTCATGCAAAACTTAAACCTAGACCAAGAAGCTGTTGTCTGAACAGAGCAAGGGAACGCTACATGCTTCAAAATAAAAAAAAAAAAAGAAGTGTATCAAGGATGTATTCTTTCTTTATATCTTTTTTCAATCTATGTGTTGAGCAGATAATTTGAAAGGTGAACTTTATGAAGAAGAATGTGACATCAAGATTGGAGGAAGATTCATAAATAACCTACATTATACAGATGAAAGAATCTTCCACACTGAAACTTAGGAGAACTTGAAGCGCTTGTTGCAGAAGATCAAGGACTACAGCCTTCAGAATGGTTTGCATATCAACATCAAGAAAAAAA